GGTTGAGCTATAGGCGCCGAGCCACAAATTATATTCTTAAATACTTTCTTGGCAATAGAATGTAATGAATTCTAATATATGCAACAATATAAATGAACCTCAGAATATTGATTGATGGAAGCCAAACACAAAAAAGTACATCTGGCATGATCCCAATTATATAAATTACTGGTATGCAAAATTAACTTATAGTGATAAAAATGAAATCAGGCTGGGCACTGAGCCTCACACCTGTAATCCCAGCAATTTGGGAGGCTGAGCAGAAGGATTGCTTGAGGCCAGGAGTTCAAGACCAACCTAGGCAACAAGATAAGATCCCCTTCTCTGAATAACAAAATTAGCAGAGCAGGATGGTGCATGTGTTTTTTCCCAGTTACTCAGGAGCCTGAGGCAGAAGGATGGCTCGAGTTCAGAAGTTCAAGGACATAGTGAGCTATGATTATACCACTGCATTTCAACCTGTGTGATAGAGTAAGACCTTGTCTCTAACAATAACAAACCTTAAATCAGTATTTTTTTGCTTCCTTGCATAGGTCATTTTGGGAGACTTCAACTACAAAGGGGTATGAAGAGAAATGTTTTGCATCTGGAAGGGAATAGTAGTTACTGAGATGAATATATTTGTTGAATCTCATTGTGCTATACACTTAAAATGTGTTTTATATAAATTATTATTCATTAAAGTTGATAAATGTAAAATCCTAAAGGAGTTAAAGCACAAGATGACATCCCTTAAAATTATTGGAGGTTTTTAAGTGAAGTAGGTAAAGATTTTGAGAACAGGTAGATAGGAAGAACCAGTTACAAATCTTGTAAATGAATAGCATTTGAAATACCTCAATAAACAAGGTAAACTGAACCCATTGAAACAGAATACTAGTGAATTGAATGATAGAACTAAGAATCACTTAGAGGTGGGCACCTGTGGCTCAGTGAGTAGGGCGCCAGCCTCATATACCAAGGGTGGCAAGTTCAAACCCGGCTCCAGCCAAACTGCAACAAAAAAATAGCTAGGTGTTGTGGTGGGTGCCTATAGTCCCAGCTACTCGGGAGACTGAGGCAAGAGAATCACCTAAGACAAAAGCTAGAGGTTGCTGTGAGCTGTGACGTCATGGCACTCTACCCAGGGTAATAAAGTAAGATTCTGTCTCTAAAAAAAAAAAAGAAAGAAAATCACTTAGAATCAGAGAAGACAGAATTTAAGGAATAGTTAGGAGACATGAAAGATGGTTTAGGAAACTAGTATATTTCTTTTTTTTTTT